CACACACACACACACACACACACACACACACACACACACACACACACAGAAAACAAGAGGACAGATTTGGATTTAAACAAAAAAGGAGCATAAGCTAAGACAAAATACAGGAATCTGGAAATAAAAAAGGACAGAGTGTCAGGGTAAAGTTATGAGAGAAGTTAAGAGAAGTCACAGGCGATATGGTTAAAAGGATGATTGGAAGAAAGGATGAAAAAGAGAAGACACAACACGAGGGATGAAGCTGTGTGACAAGAGATAAAAGAGGGTTGTTATTAAGAGCAAAAGCTCTGAAGGGAAAGGTGAATAACTGTGAGGCTGGGCACAGAGGGGAGTTTGGTCTGTTGGTTATAAAATCCATGAGTTTAATTTAGAGTCATTTTAACTGCAAAACTCAAGTCCAAAAATACTTCATCTATTACATTAATTAATATAAAAAACTTGATACATTGATAATTATGTTTTTCATCCAGTTAAGGAACTCTGATTACAAATTACAAACTGAGGGAGTGTTTTTAGGTTTAATTCTTGCATTTAGAGGAAATAAATAAAATAAAATAAAATAAGACCCATTTTGGGAATTACGTGAATTCTTACTGATTAGGCACAGCTGCCAACATTTGAGAGATTACATGTCGAGGAGAAGCCTTGTCAAATTTTCTGATTAAACTGAGGTGACAGACTGACAGACAGTAAATCCAAGCAGGCCCCAGTGACAGTAGTGACAGCAGCCATCATTCTTATGGAAATGTGTTCACTGACAATAGAGGAAATACACTTAAAAAGGTCCAGATGGGGRAAAAAACAGACAGAATCAAAGTAAGGTCAGAGAAATAAGCTGAGCTCTGTAAAGTGGTRTGTCACAAGTGAACATCTCTGCAGCTAATGAAGGCTATACAGTCATGTGGAAACTGCAGCATCCAAATATTGTTCWAAAAAGTCACATTACAAAAATTACAACAAAATGGCAGAGCTCTCAACATTCAATCAATGTTTGGTTTGTTTGTTTTTCCTATCCACAGCGAAGACGCACAAAATCTCATTGCTTCGACAAAAGTTAATGGAGCCAAATCTTAGTGTTTTGTTCCAGGCTTGAAGGAAATTTCTGTCCTCAAGGACTAAACTGACAGACTGACTAACAGAACGTAGGAAGACAAACAGAGGAAACCTCAAACTTCATCTGTTATTCTTCTTGTTTYATTATCAGGTACAAGAAATAGCTGTAGCTGTTAATTTTTGGATTTAAAAAAAGATCACTGCATTGTTTCAGTAAAATTTATCCGTCAAATTCAGCAACTAACAGCATTTTATTTTTTTTTAAAAATTTGAAATAAATATTAAGCTTAGATTAAAAAATAAAGAACGCATATCGCCTGCCACYGTTCAGCCTAGACTTTTAAAATAAATCTTTATACTGTAGCTACTTTTGTTCCWCCTACAGTCAGCTGGTTGATGCACACCCATTAGTTAATTTGATTTTATTAAAAACCCATCCAGCAGATCATGTCATATTTTGACAATAGAAACATAAGCACAAAAACAGGCTAAAGCAAAATTAGAAACCCACACCCACAACCTTTTGATCTGTGTAATAAGAGGTCAACATGCTAATGGAAGGTGGTCTGCAGCAGGCCTCACATCTTTTGTGAAGCATGCACCTTTTTAAACACATCTGTCTAATGCACATCAGCTGATTCAATTGCTTTCTCTCAGGCAGACGCTCATGTTCTCTTACACAATCAATGTACTGTATGTAGAGGACGAACTCCSTCTGAACAGAACAATCAGTAAACAAAGAGGAGCTGAAGCTAAAAAATATCAAAAAGGAAGAAGAGGGATATTTAAATGTGAATATGTTTAAAAGAGTAGCCTCAGTGTTTACAGTAAAATAGGYTCAGGACTAAGCAGTCATTAACAGGTGGGGGTGGTAAAAAGCCTCAGCAAAACATCTTCATCTCACTGCCATCACTTTGAACTGTAGCCTCCCAAGGTGCAACACAACACCAAAAACTAATTGTCCCTCATCCCCTGACATTTATTGGGACGCCTGCCTGGATTGATGCGCCAATCAATGAGACTGCAACTATGGCAACAGGTTGTCAGGTTTTAATTGGGTATTTCTGGCCCTCTGAGTCAGACTGGGAGCATCTCAAGATTCTCGTTTGGTCAGTAGTGTTGAACTCTGGAGCAGAAAGGTTGCTTGCTGCCATTTGGGACTGCGCACAAGTGAGCAAGAATCTAAATGATGCRGACAAGTTGATGCTCCTGCACAGTAACAAGTTGCATTTTATTTTTAACCGTGACATACAAAAAGTCAGTAAACATTAAAACATTTGCCTCTAAATCAAGTGAAAATAGCAATGAAAAAATCTACAAAGAAAAAAACTTCAGGATCAATTAACCAAATAGAACATTAGGTTACCCTTCAACTGATTTTTTAAATTAATTTGTTGATAAGTTTGACTAATAAATGGTGCTAAACTAAACTAACATTCTTCATGAATTTAAGATTTAGCTGAGAACTTTTCTGTGACAATTCAGTTCTATTGGAACCATTTTTTAAAATGGGTTTTATCTATTAATTATTACCTCCGCCAAGGGCGAGGTAATGTTTTCAGACGCGTATRTCTGTCTGTCATTCTGTCTGTGGACAACATTACTCAAAAACTTGTGGACGGTTTGTCATGACATTTTTACCACATGTGGGTACTGGGCCAAGGAACACACCTTTAAATTTTGGTGATGTTCCAGATCACGATGCAGATACAGGAATTTTTTATCTTTTAACACTCTGAGATCGGCAAAGCTGTGATGCTTTCACAGAGCTTCTGTAAAAAACAGTGAGCTGGATTGGACAGCAGAGACTTCAAACTTTATAAAAGTAATGTTAAAACCACATTTAATGATGAATATTTTTTGCCATAATATGCGCATTTACAGAACGTTTTGTGACCAGGAAGTGTGTGACTGCACCATGAAACCTACTTTTCCCATTTCCTCAAACACACCACATTTCCGAAACAACCAATCAAAACAGTTTATTGCTACTAGGCTTGTAAACAGAGAGCTTCTRGCCGGGCCTCAAAGTTTGGAGACGGGGGGAGCCAGGAAGCACTTAATAAAGAGAGTCAAACCATTACAAACTCATACAAGGGGATAAAACAGACGTTTTACATGGTGAAATGTGACTGAGGAAAACTTAGGAGCTTAATCCGACACCAGTTTGACAACGAATAACATSGGGTGACAAGTCTGACTTTTGTTTTTTTCACATTGGACTCCACCGGGAAGAAATCCCATGCATACTGCCTGCTTAATTGTTCACTACATCAGAACTTATTCGGCAAATGTGTTTCCATCTCTGCTTTTGCGCATTAACTCTTACAGGATGGGGGAAATTGGTCTTGGTGGAGGTTTGCACTCTCCGAGTGCTTCTAGTTTGCAATTCTTAGATTTTTTATTGTTCTTTGTGAAAAAGTACAAGTTTATTTTTTTTTAAAGTTTTTCCTTTTCCTTTGTTTTGTTATTAGAAAAAATGTATTTTTGTAATCTGATCCCATTATTTCAGGGTCTTCTGACAAATAAACGCATCTGGGCAGCAGGAGGGTTGAATAATGTTGGATCTGATTGGGTTGGATTGGTGCACGGCCCGAAGCGGTGGCTGTGGTTCAGTGTCTGTTCTGACGTGAAATTGAGAAGCAGATCTTATTTAAGTTTTTTTATTATTATTATTATTTTCCTGGCCACTGTGCTAGAAGACAAACACTGTCTGGGAGCTCAAAAAATAGTTTTGGTGCCACACAAAGACCCAACGTTTCAGATCACGGTGACCAAAACTGAGAGCGAATACTTAAACTTAAGACAAGCTGCAGAGTTAAAGCATGTTAGAAACACTCAGATCACACTTACCTTTAGGGCCTGAGAGCGGTTTGCCAGCAGCTTCTCTATGTTCCCAGCAGCAGTTGACACCAGTTCGACTGCATTGTTGGTCTCGACACTGAAGTGGTTTTTATGTTTATGGTATATCTAAAATAAAGAATAATAAAAAATAGACATCAGCATTCATATAAGGGTTTAAAGTTTGGTAAATGTTGATATAGGGTGAAGGGAAGGTCATAGTCTTTTATTCTTTTTAGAGACTGTGTTAATATTTGGTGTGGTTAAACTGAAAGAAGAGAAGAAGGCTACTTCCAATACAAGACCCGCTTACAGCCTTCTACAGATCCACTGATTAAGCTGCACTGTCAGGTTATGTAAGACAGACTACTCACTCTGCAACAGAATATGTTCCAGCAACAGGAAAAAGAAACACAAACGCCATACAGCCAATTATTTAGCAGCCTCAAGGGATTTTACAGTCCGACATTCAAACTCTGAGGCACAAACATCTGTTTGTCTTCATGCTCCTGCAGTCTGAGGCMGTTGGCTTTAGTCATGCTAAACAAGTAATAATAGTACATTTTAGATTACATCTTGTTATAAAATGCCTCATTTTGTTTTAGAGTTTTTGTTATTTTCTGATTGCCATGTGTGACTTTTTATGTTAAATATTTGCTTTGGTTCATGGTTTGACTTGTTGCTTTTGTAAAAAAGACAAAAAAAAAGTATCAGTTTGAAAGGGCATGTGAACAAACGACCTAAACTCCATTTTGTYCTGTTTAAATACTGGATTCAAGGTTGCTTTAAAGCTGACTGAACTTCTGCCAGAGAATTTTCTAAAAGCCCAATAAAATCTGGACAATCATTATGGATCTAAATAGCTTTTATGCACTTTGTCAGGTTGGGAGCGTGTGTGTGTGTGTGTGTGTGTGTGTGTGTGTGTGTGTGTGTGTGTGTGTG